GTTGGTAGACAGAAACCACCCAGGGGGGTACTACCCCCTGTGGTAGTAGGCTGGTAGACAGAAACCACCTGGAAGGACTACCATCCTGTGGTAGTAGATGGTAAAACCAAGCCCCAGGGAGGTACTCCCTCCTGTGGTGTGGCGGTAGAAGAAACCCCCGGGAAAAGGTATTTTACCATCCGGGGTAGTGACTGGTGCAGCAACCACCGGGGGAGGTATACCACCCTGTGGTAGTGGCTGGTAGCAGCAACCACCCTGGAAGGTCTAATCCTGTGGTAGTAGGCTGGTAACAGCAACCACCCTGGGGGGGTATCCACCCTGTGGTAGTAGGCTGGTAGACGCAACCCCCCTGGAAGGTATCCCCCTGTGGAGAGGGGTAGACAGCAACCACCCTGGAAGGTATCCCACCCTGTGGTAGTGGTGGTGAAGCAACCCCCCTGGGGGTTCTCCCACCCTTTTGGTGTAGGTGGTAGACAGAACCCACCCGGGGGTACTACCACCCGTGGTATAGGTTGGTAGACAGCAACCACCCAGGGGGGTATACCCCCTGTGGTGTGGTTGGTAGACAGCAACCCCCCGGGAAGGGGTACTACCATCCTGTGGTATAGGTTGGAGACAGAAACCCACCCAGGAGGTACTACCACCCTTGGTAGTAGGTTGGTAGACAGCAACCACCCGGGAAAGGTACTACCACCCTGTGGTAGTAGGTTGGTAGACACAACCCCCCCGGGAGGTATACCACCCTGTGGTAGTAGGCGGGTAGACAGCAACCCCAGGGGGTACTCCCTCCTGTGGTAGTAGGTGGTAGACAGAAACCCACCCGGGAAGGTATACCATCCTGGGTGTGGGTTTGGTAGACAGAACCCCCCTGGAAGGTACTACCATCCTGGGGTAGTGGGTTGGTAGACAGAAACCCCCTGAAGGAAACCCCTCCTGTGGAGTGGGTTTGGTAGACAGCAACCACCCTGGAAGGTATCCCTCCGTGGGTAGTAGGTTGGTGACAGCAACCCCCCCAGGGAGGTCTACTGCCCTGTGGTAGTAGGTGGTGACAGAACCCCCCGGGGAGGTACTCCCCATCTGTGGTAGTAGGTTGGTAGACGCAACCACCCAGGGAGGTTCCATCCTGTGGTATTTGGTGGTGACAGCAACCCCCCAGGGAGGTTACCTCCTGTGGAGTAGGTGGTGACAGAAACCACCCGGGAAAAGGTACACCACCGTGGTAGTGGTGGTAGACGCAACCCCCCAGGGAGTACTACCATCCTGTGGTAGTAGGTGGTAGACGCAACCACCGGGAAAGGTACTACCATCCTGGGGTAGTTGGTGGTAGACAGAAACCCCCCTGGAAGGTATACCATCCTGTGGTGTGGTGGTAACAGAAACCACCCTGGAAGGTACCCCATCCTGTGGTAGTAGGTGGTAGACAGAAACCCCCAGGGAGGTATACCCCCTGGGGTATAGGCTGGTGACAGCAACCCACCAGGGAGGTACTACCATCCGGGGGTTGAGGCGGGTAGACAGCAACCCCCCGGAAGGTACTCCCTTTCCTGTGGTAGTGGGTTTTGGTAGCGAAACCCCCCCAGGGAGGTTACCTCCGTGGTAGTAGGCGGGTAGACAGAAACCACCCGGGAGGTACTACCACCCTGTGGTAGTAGGTTGGTAGACGCAACCACCCTGGAAGGTACTACCACCCTGTGGTAGTGGGTTTGGGGTGACGCAACCCCCAGGGGGTACTACCATCCTGTGGTAGTAGGCTGGTAGACAGCAAACCACCCAGGGGGGTATCCATCCTGTGGTAGTAGGCTGGTAGACGAAAACCCCTGGAAGGTACTACCACCTGTGGTAGTAGGCGGTAGACAGAACCCCCGGGGGAGGGTCTACCTCCTGTGGTGTAGGTTGTAGACAGAACCACCCCTGGAAGGTACTACCATCCTGTGGTAGTAGGCTGGTAGCAGCAACCACCTGGAAGGTACTACCATCCTGTGGTAGTAGGCTGGTAGACAGCAACACCCGGGAAAGGTACTACCACCCTGTGGTAGTAGGCTGGTAGACAGCAACCCCCGGGGGTACTACCATCGTGGTAGTGGCTGGTAGCAGCAACCACCCAGGGAGGTCTACCATCCTGTGGTAGTAGGCTGGTAAAAAGAACCACCCGGAAAGGGTATACCATCCTGGGGTAGTGGTTTGGGTAGACAGCAACCACCAGGGAGGTCTACCGTCCTTGGTAGTAGGTGGTAGACAGCAACCACCCAGGGAGGTACTACCACCCTGTGGTGTAGGTTGGTAGACAGAAAAACCCCCCTGGAAGGTAACCATCCTTGGTGTAGGTTGGGACAGAAACCACCCTGGAAGGTACTCCCACCCTGTGTAGTAGGTTGGTAGACAGAAAACCACCCAGGGAGGTACTACCACCCCTGTGGTGTGGGTTTGGTAGACAGCAACCACCCGGGAAAGGTACCCCCAACCCTGTGGTGTAGATGGAGACAGCAACCCCCCTGGAAGGTCTACCATCCTTGGTAGTGGGCGGGTGACAGCAACCCCCTGGAAGGTATACCATCTGTGGTAGTGGTTTGGGTGGGCAGAAACCACCCGGAAGTACTACCATCCTGTGGTAGTGGGTTTGGTAGCAGAAACCCCCCCCAGGGAGGTACTACCTCCTGTGGTAGTGGTTTGGTGACAGAAACCCCCCTGGAAGGTCCCCAAACTGTGGTATTTGCTGGTAGAAGAAACACCCTGGAAGGTACTACACCCTGGGGTAGTAGGTGGTAGACAGCAACCACCCGGAAGGTACTACATCCTGTGGTAGTGGGTTGGTAGACAGCAACCCCCCGGGAAAGGTTTACTACTTTCCTGTGGTAGTAGGTTTTTGAAGAAACCCCCCTGGAAGGTACTACCATCCTGTGGGTGGTGGTAGACGAAACCCACCCTGGAAGGTACCCCCATCCTGTGGTAGTAGGTTGGTAGACAGAACCCCCGGAAGGTACTACCATCCTGTGGTAGTAGGTTGGTAGAAGAAACCCCCCCGGGAAAGGGTACTACCACCCTGTGGTAGAGGCGGTAACAAACCCCCCGGGAAGGTATACCATCCTGTGGTAGTAGGTGGTAGCAGAAAACCACCCTGGAAGGTATACCACCCGGGGGTAGTGGGTTTGGTAGACAGAACCCACCTGGAAGGTATACCATCCTGTGGTATTGGTTGGTAGACAGAAAACCCCCCGGGAAGGGAAAACTACCATCCTGTGGTAGGGGCGGAGAAGAAAACCACCCGGGAAGGTCTACCATCCTGGGGTAGTTGGTTGGTAGACAGCAACCACCCTGGAAGGTACTACCACCCTGTGGTAGTAGGTTGGTAGACAGCAACCACCCTGGAAGGTACTACCACCCTGTGGTAGTAGGTTGGTAGACAGCAACCACCCTGGAAGGTACTACCACCCTGTGGTAGTAGGTTGGTAGACAGCAACCACCCTGGAAGGTACTACCACCTGTGGTAGTAGGTTGGTAGACAGCAACCACCAGGGGTACTACCGTCCTGTGGTAGTGGTGGTAGCGCAACCACCCAGGGAGGTATACCATCTTGGGGTAGTAGGTTGGTAGTAGAAAACCCCATGGGGGTTTCTTCCTCTGTGGTAGAGGTGGTAGACAGCAACCCCCCAGGGGGTACTCCCATCCTGTGGTAGTAGGCGGTAGCAGCAACCACCCTGGAAGGGTTACTACCTCCTGGGTAGTAGGTTGGTAGACGCAACCCCCGGGGGTACCCCGCCCTGTGGTTTAGTAGGCTGGTAGACAGAAAAACCCCCCAGGGAGGTACTACATCCGTGGTAGTGGGTTGGTAGATGAAAACCACCCTGGAAGGTCCCATCCTGGGGTAGTAGGCTGGTGACAAAAACCCACCCTGGAAGGTACTACCATCCTGTGGTAGTAGGTTGGTAGCAGAAACCCCACCCGGGAAAGGGTATACCACCCTGTGGTAGTAGGTGGTAGACAGCAACCCCCCGGGAAAGGTACTACCTCCTGGGTGTAGGTTGGTGACAGCAACCACCCGGGGAGGTTTACCCCCTGTGGTGTAGGTGGTAGCAGCAACCACCCAGGGGGACTAATCCTGTGGTAGTAGGGGGGGTAGACGCAACCAACCCGGGAAGGTACTCCCACCCTGGGTAGTGGTTGGTAGACGCAACCACCCGGGGAGGTACTCCCATCCTGTGGTAGTGGCGGGTTTGACAGCAACCCCCCCAGGGAGGTATACCACCCTGTGGTAGTAGGTTGGTAGACAGCAACCACCCGGGAAAGGGTATACTGTTTTGGTAGGGTTTGGTAGACAGAACCCCCCCAGGAAGGTATCCCATCCTGGGGTAGTAGGTTGGTTTGACAGCAACCCCCCTGGAAGGTACTCCCGCCCTGTGGTGTAGGTTGGTAGACAGCAACCCCCAGGGAGGTATACCATCCTGTGGTAGTAGGCTGGTAGACAGAAACCCCACCCGGGAGGTACTCCGTCCTGCCAAAGGAGTGTAAAAAAAAAAAGCCTCAAATTTTTTTACATGATAGTAGGATTGCGGGTGCCCTTTTTCTTTTTCATGAACATGCAAGGTTTCAGGACGTCTTGCTACTTCTATTTACCTTTTGGTACATACAAAACATGTACAAGCATATAATCATACTACCCCCCTGGGTTTTCTTCTATTTTTTTTTAGTTTTTGTTCTTGTTTATTTCCTTTATCTCCATGGGGGAAATGGAAAAGAATTCTTTCCCCTGTAGCCATGCGTGTCGTAAGAGGCGACTAAAATTCCTGGAGCAAGGGGGCTAGTAACCCCTTCTCCTGTTTATGTTATTAAATGTAAAAGGAGACACTTTCGTTTTTCCTTTTGGGCCACCCCGCCTCGGTGGGATACGGCTGGTGTGTTGAAAGAAAGAAGTATATTCATATTCGACTGACAATTTTTCAACTGGGTTCCATGGAACATAAAATTCATAAATTAAGGAGCACTTATATTATAAACTACACTACCTTGGGGCTGTAATGCAAAATTTCCTGATCCAGTAGAGTTTTCTTCTCTCTGCCCTTGCTGAACATTTGCATGTGGCGTATTTCTTCCTGACTCTTCCCCTCCCTTTGTTTAAATCGGTCTACTGTGAAGTCATACTTTAAACCCCTTACGTTGTAAATAATTGATGAAAAAAACATTAATTTCAAATTTTGTCACCCCTTTTTTGGGAGAATTTAAATACTAAATATTTAGCAAATATTCTTCTTAAGATTCCATTTGCCAGCGTTTTTTATTAAGACTTTTTTAATAAGAGTGTTTTCCTTTTCCTGGGTGTAAAACAAGACGCGAGTACTTTTTTGTGCTCCCCGACCCCCGTCTCCCCCCGCCTTTGGTTCCTTCTTTTAAATTTATACGATGTTTTTCTTGCTTCCTCAATCTGAGAGATGTTTTGCAAATTATATTTTTTTTTATAAATAAACACATACAATCATTCCTAGTGAGAAACTGTACAATAGTCTCTGACATAGCAACTATTTGCTTCGTATAATTCTGTTTGTGACCAAGAAAAAATTAACAGAAAACATTAACAATGTTTCTAATGATGTTTTGACCTAATGTTGTACATGTACTTGTAGTAATAAAGATATTATTATTATTATTATTATTATTATATACCATACAAAAATTAATGGATTTTACTAAAATTGAGAAAAAAATTTAATTAATTTCAATCCCCATTACAAAAACTATTCAAAATAAAAAATTTTACATTTCCCTTTGGGTTATTTTACCTAACAAATTTGCAACAATGCAAGCCCCCAAAATTGGTTTTTTGGAAAAAAAAAAAGAAATTCAATGTGAAAAATGCTGTGAGTCCACTTTGCCAGAGAGAAGAAAAAGAAATCCATAAATTTTTGACTTAGTTTTGCCAAAAAAATTAGCAATAAGCAAAAACCTGATTTAGTAGAAAAGGGAATCAGTCTTCGCCTCAAAGAAGATGTTAGTCTTGTAGTTGGGTCAATTGAAGCAGAGTAGAAAGAAAACTTATATCTGGAGCCGGGAGATGCGTAGTTTAAGCCATCATCACAGGGGTGGACCATTTTGGGAAGTAGATCATGTCCAGGTTGGGTCAAAGGTTAAAAAATAAAATTTTGGAAGGTTTTTTGTACCAAAATTTCATGGGATTCTGTGTCGAAAGTTCATTATATTACTAGTATTTGGTAAAAGACAAATAAATTATAAAAGCATGGTAAAACCTGATATCTGTTATGAAGATTTTTTCCAGTGATTTTCTCAGTTCAATATATGCTGTCTCCTGTTCAAGGACCCCAGTGGAAATACGTCACTGTCTTTGACTTTTTTTTTTTGTTATCCTAGGTAACTTACACTATGTATGATAATTGTACTTATGTGTACCTGTGACTAAATAAGCTTATGTAAATAATCACTGTACAGAATTGATAGAGCCACTGGATTGAGAAACATCTTCATAATACAGATACCCATGCACAAGTGTTTTATTCATACACAAATGACCCGCACATAAAAGAGAGAAGCTTATGACGACGTTTCGGTCCGACTTGGACCATTGACAAAGTCAATGTGACTTTGTCAATGGTCCAAGTCGGACCGAAACGTCGTCGTAAGCTTCTCTCTTTTATGTGCGGGTCATTTGTGTATCGTTCCAGTCACGGTATTGTGCCTTTTTTGTTATTTATTTGTTTTATTCATCTATCTGTTAGTATTATATACCAGTAATATAATACTTGTTTGACACAGCAATGCCATGAAGTCTGTGTTCATCAAGAACTGCAAGAAGCCCCTATCACGAGCCTTTTCCATCCTATGGAGAGGGAGCATGGACACGGGGGTCGTCCCACAGTTACTAAAAACAACAGACATAGCCCCACTCCACAAAGGGGGCAGTAAAGCAACAGCAAAGAACTACAGACCAATAGCACTAACATCCCATATCATAAGAATCTTTGAAAGGGTCCTAAGAAGCAAGATCACCACCCATCTAGAAACCCATCAGTTACACAACCCAGGGCAACATGGGTTTAAAAACAGGTCGCTCCTATCTGTCTCAACTATTGGATCACTATGACAAGGTCCTAATGCACTAGAAGACAAAAAGAATGCAGATGTGAATATATACAGACTTTGCAAAAGCCTTCGACAAGTGTACCATGGCGAAAATAGCGCACAAAATGCGTGCTAAAGGAATAACAGGAAAAGTCGGTCGATGGATCTATAATTTCCTCACTAACAGAACACAGAGAGTAGCCCGTCAACAGAGTAAAGTCCGAGGCAGCTACGGTGAAAGCTCTGTTCCACAAGGCACAGTACTCGCTCCCATCTTGTTCCTCATCCTCATATCCGACATAGACAAGGATGTCAGCCCCCAAGCACCGTGTCTTCCTTTGCAGATGACACCCGAATCTGCATGACAGTCTTCCATTGCAGACACTGCAAGGCTCCAGGCGGACATCAACCAAATCTTTCAGTGGGCTGCAGAAAACAATATGAAGTTCAACGATGAAAAATTTTCAATTACTCAGATATGGTAAACATGAGAAATTAAATTTCATCAGAGTACAAAACAAATTCGGGGCCACAAAATAGAGCGAAACACCAACGTCAAAGACCTGGGAGTGATCATGTCGGAGGATCTCACCTTCAAGGACCATAACATTGTATCAAACGCATCTGCTAGAAAATGACAGGATGGATAATGAGAACCTTCAAAACTAGGGAGGCCAACCCATGATGGGCACTCTTCAGGTCACTTGTTCTATCTAGGCTGGAATATTGCTGCACACTAAAAGCACCTTTCAAGGCAGGGGAAATTGCGACCTAGAAAATGTACAGAGAACTTTCACGGCGCGCATAACGGAGCGCTTGAGGTTCCTAAACCTGTATTCCCTGGAAGCAGGAGGGAGAGATACATGATTATATACACCTGGAAAAATCCTAGAGGTACTAGTACCGAACTTGCACACGAAAATCACTCACTACAAAAGCAAAAGACTTGGCAGACGATGCACCATCCCCCCAATGAAAAACAGGGGGTCACTAGCCGTTAAGAGACCATACAATAAGTGTCAGGGGCCCGAGACTGTTCAACTGCCTCCCAGCACACATAAGGGGGATTACCAACAGACCCCTGGCAGTCTTCAAGCTGGCACTGGACAAGCACCTAAAGTCAGTTCCTGATCAGTCGGGCTGTGGCTCGTACGTTGGTTTGCGTGCAGCCAGCAGCAACAGCCTGGTTGATCAGGCTCGGATCCACCAGGAGGCCTGGTCACAGACCGGGCCGCGGGGCCGTTGACCCCCGGAACTCTCTCCAGGTAAACTCCAGGTAAACAACCCTACTGCTAACCTCTGGCCCAACTCTTGGACATGACATACTGCCACTAGTAGGTCCTGCCCAACTGTGACAATGCCTTCAACTACTGCACCTCTCTTCTGTTCCAGTATATAAGAGTCCATTCTCCTGTCTCTGCTTCAGATTAATCGAGGATATGATATTAAACATCTATCAAGGATGAGGGACTGATTATCTCGTCTACTGTTTTCAGCATGAGCGTGTTTGATAGGAGTGAATGGAGACAAATGGTTTTTAATACTTGACGTGCTGTTGGAGTGTGAGCAAAGTAACATTTATGAAGGGGTTCAGGGAAACCGGCGGGCCGGACTTGAGTCCTGGAGATGGGAAGTACAGTGCCTGCACTCTGAAGGAGGGGTATTAATGTTGCAGTTTAAAAACTGTAGTGTAAAGCACCCTTCTGGCAAGACAGTGATGGAGTGATTGATGGTGAAAGTTTTTCTTTTTCGGGCCACCCTGCCTTGGTGGGAATCGGCCAGTGTGATAATAAAAAAAAAAAAAAAATCTCTGTAAAGAATTGAAAAAAGCTACTGGATGGAGAATTTTTTTTTTATTATTATCACACTGGCCGATTCCCACCAAGGCAGGGTGGCCCGAAAAAGAAAAACTTTCACCATCAATCACTCCATCACTGTCTTGCCAGAAGGGTGCTTTACACTACAGTTTTTAAACTGCAACATTAATACCCCTCCTTCAGAGTGCAGGCACTGTACTTCCCATCTCCAGGACTCAAGTCCGGCCCGCCGGTTTCCCTGAACCCCTTCATAAATGTTACTTTGCTCACACTCCAACAGCACGTCAAGTATTAAAAACCATTTGTCTCCATTCACTCCTATCAAACACGCTCGCGCATGCCTGCTGGAAGTCCAAGCCCCTCGCATACAAAACCTCCTTTACCCCCTCCCTCCAACCTTTCCTAGGCCGATCCCTACCCCTCCTTCCTTCCACTACAGACTGATACACTCTTGAAGTCACTCTGTTTCGCTCCATTCTCTCTACATGTCCGAACCACCTCAACAACCCTTCCTCAGCCCTCCGGACAACAGTTTTGGTAATCCCGCACCTCCTCCTAACTTCCAAACTATGAATTCTCTGCATTATATTCACACCACACATTGCCCTCAGACATGATATCTCCACTGCCTCCAGCCTTCTCCTCGCTGCAACATTCATCACCCATGCTTCCCACCCATATAAGAGCGTTGGTAAAACTATACTCTCATACATTCCCCTCTTTGCCTCCAAGGACAAAGTTCTTTGTCTCCACAGACTCCTAAGTGCACCACTCACCCTTTTCCCCTCATCAATTCTATGATTCACCTCATCTTTCATAGATGGAAAAAGTCTTCATAATAATGATACCCAGATTCTGGCTTAACACTTATTTTCACTCTTCCTTATTACTGTGTACTTTAGCAAGCATCAACATATATACCTAGCAAGAATTAATAAATGGGATAAAACTGCAATGTTTACAAAAAAAGTGCCCAGCACCACCCTCACTAAGGTACACTATTTGACCAAAAGATGAAGCCATGGAAGCCTTCACTTGAACAAAGACCTGTATGGCAGTGAGGCTATTGCCAAGGCCCTTGGTGGGAGGAGGGCAAACTGGAAAACAGCAAAAGATATAAGGAAAACAAGAACCACTGGAGTCCAGATTGTAAAGACAATAGAATTTTTCATACGTAAATGTGCAACAACTGAAGTAAAATATTGCTCAGGTTGAAATAAAGCTTATTATTCAAAGTTATCTAACAGCACTATAGTGTATAGTGTGTAACAGAGGAAAAAGTCAGGAAATTTGGTTGATAATGTGAAATTAAGGACACCTTACCAACACAAAACTCCCTTAATAACGGTTCCAATTCTCTGTACATTTATAAAAAAAAATATTTCACTTATTTCATTTATGACTGATGAAAATATTCATGCAAAATAACCTATTTGAGAAAAGGAAATGGATACTTACCTGATCTCCCTTTTTTCCACTTGTAATATTAAATGTTGAGACTGACACCTGAGCCTGATCACCCTCTTGTAATGCATATCCTTCACCCACCGTAACATCCTGTGTTACCACACCACCAGGTGCTGCTCCCACCAATGCACGACAAATGCCCATCTGCAAGTCAAAAACTAATTACATATAGCAAAGTTATGGTAGAACTAAAGATTTAGTTTTGTTTTATCATGATACTATATACAGTACATACGAAGGTTGTTAGTTATCAGAGTATATACATATATATGTACACTGAAAGTTGTACAGTACAGTGGACCCTCGACCAACAATGGCATCGTCTAACGTTAAATCCGACTAGCAATACATTTTAACGCAAAAATTTTGCCTCGACTAGCGCTAAAAAACTCGACCAACACAATTTGTTCCGTCTGAGACGCGTCCACTTGTGGCCAGTGTTTACAAGCCAGCCAGCCATCGCGGTCCCATCCAAACATACAATCGGAACATTTCATATTATCACAGCGTTTTTAGTGATTGCACCTGCAAAATAAGTCACCATGGGCCCCAAGAAAGCTTCTAGTGCCAACCCTACAGCAAAAAGGGTGAGAATTACTATGGAAATGAAGAAACAGATCATTGCTAAGTATGAAAGTGGAGTGTGTGTTTCCGAGCTGGCCAGGTTGTACACAAAACCCCAACCAACCATCGCTACAACTGTGGCCAAGAAAACGGCAATCAAGGAAGCTGTTCTTGCCAAAGGTGCAACTATGTTTTCGAAACTGAGATCGCAAGTGATAGAAGATGTTGAGAGACTGTTATTGGTGTAGATAAACGAAAAACAGATAGCAGGAGATAGCATCTCTCAAGCGATCATATGTGAAAAGGCTAGGAAGTTGCATGAGGATTTAATTAGAAAAATGCCTGCAACTAGTGGTGATGTGAGTGAATTTAAGGCCAGCAAAGGTTAGTTTGAGAGATTTAAGAATCGTAGTGGTATACATAGTGTGATAAGGCATGGTGAGGCTGCCAGTTTGGACCAAAAAGCAGCTGAAAAATATGTGCAGGAATTCAAGGAGTACATAGACAGTGAAGAATTGAAACCTGAACAAGTGTTTAATTGTGACACTGACAATGTTGTGAAACACTTTAGGAATGTCATAAAGGAACGGGAGGTACAGGCCTTTATGGACAGATATGTTGTGCAACAGAGGTCCAGTGACTCTCAAGCTGGTCCTAGTGGCATTAAAAGAAGAAGGGAAGTAACCGCGGAAAAGGACTTGACACCTCAAGTCCTAATGGAAGGGGATTCCCCTTCTAAACACTAACACCATCCACAGTCTTCCCTCCTCCCATCCCATCAATCATCACCAGATCTTCAATAAAGGTAAGTGTCATGTAATTGTAAATGTCTTCTTCAGCTTGTGTGTATTAAAATTAATGTTTCATGTGGTAAAATTTTTTTTTTTCAATACTTTTGGGTGTCTTGCACGGATTAATTTGATTTCCATTATTTCTTATAGGGAAAATTAACTCGACTAGCGATAATTTCGATTAACGATGAGCTCTCAGGAACGGATTAATATCGTTGGTCGAGGGTCCACTGTCAATATTAGTGTATGGATGAACTGAGATTTTAGTGACACACATGCATAAGAAAGAGATGATTGTGGATGTTATGAATGAGAAGAAACGGGATGTCCGGGTTTTAAAGGGAAAACAAAGCTGAAGGGGGTGGGAGAGTTTCAATTGAGAGGAATAAATGGGATTAGGTCAGGGGTTTCAAATAGAGTTAGAGCTAAAGAAAGAGTAGCAATAATGTTGAAGGATAAGCTATGGCAGGAAAAGAGGGACTATAAATGTATTAATTCAAGGATTATGTGGAGTAAAAAAAGATTGGGTTGAAAATGGGTTATAATAATGTGTATGGGACTGGAAAAGAGAGAATGTAGAGGAAGAGAGAGGATTTTGGGAAAAGTTTATGAATGCGGGGGATTTTGAATAAGTTGAAGGGGAATGGTGTTGGGGGTTTCAATCTAAAATGGGTAAAAAAGTTTTAGAGGGGGTAGAGGTAAATTTTTTTGGGGCCCGGGGGAAATGTAAATGGGGAGGGCCTTTTAAATTAGCTTGTGTAGAAAGAGATTTGTAATAAAAAACATTTTATGAAAAAGAGGAAAATAAATTACAAGGATGATGTAGCACTAATGAAAATAGTTTTTTAGATTATGTATTGGGGGAAAAAAGGTTATGGGTAGGCCCCAGGATGTACAGTTATAAGGGGCAATGATAAATCGGATTATATTTATTTAGCTACATTAGAGTAAGAGGTAAGAGGGAAAAGGAAGGTGGCAACAACAATAAGGGGAGGGGAAAGGGATAAACTAAGGGAGGAGGAAGTCGGGTGGATTAAGCGACTATTGCAGAAAGGGGGCTATGCAAAGAGTTGGGGGGGTTTTAAAGGGTTTAAAAAATTTTAAAAATCAGTATTAAATGTGGGGCGAAGTTTGTGGGTTTTAGGAGGGTGGGGGCAAGGAAAAAGGGGTGATTGGTGGAAGATGAAGAAAGGGTGTGAAAAAAGAGAAAAAGGTAGCTTTTGAGAGGTTTTTACAAAGCAGAAGTGTTTTAAGAAGAGCAGAGTATATGGAGAGTACAAGAAAGGTAAAGAGAGTGGTGAGAGAGTGCAAAAGGAGAGCAGATGATAGAGTGGGAGAGGCACTGTTAAGAAATTTTAATGAAAATAAGAAAAAGTTTTGGAGTGAGTTAAACAAGTTAAGAAAGCCTAGGGAAAGTATGGATTTGTCAGTTAAAAACAGAGTAGGGAGTTAGTAGATGGGAGAGGAGGTATTAGGTAGATGGCGAGAATATTTTGAGGAACTTTTAAATGTTAAGAAGAAAGAGAGGCAGTAATTTCATGCACTGGTCAGGGAGGTATACCATCTTTTAGGAGTGAAGAAGAGCAGAATGTAAGTGTGGGGGAGGTACGTGAGGCAATTACGTAGAACGAAAGGGGGTAAAGCAGCTGGAACTGATGGATCATGACAGAAATGTTAAAAGCAGGGGGGGATATAGTGTTGGAGTGGTTGGTACTTTTGTTTAATAAATGTATGAAAGAGGGGAAGGTACCTAGGGATTGGCGGAGAGCATGTATAGTCCCTTTATATAAAGGGAAAGGGGACAAAAGAGACTGTAAAAATTATAGAGGAATAAGTTTACTGAGTATACCAGGAAAAGTGTAAGGAAGGGTTATAATTGAAAGAATTAAAGGTAAGACAGAATGTAGGATTGCGCATGAGCAAGGAGGTTTCAGAGTGGGTAGAGGATGTGTAGATCAAGTGTTTACATTGAAGTATATATGTTGAACAGTAATTTAGATAAAGGTAGGGAGTTTTTATTGCATTTATGGATTTAGAAAAGGCATATGATAGAGTGGATAGAGGAGCAATGTGGCAGATGTTGCAAGTACATATATGGAATAGGTTATTAAATGCTGTAAAGAGTTTTTATGAGGATAGTGAGGCTCAGGTTAGGGTGTGTAGAAGAGAGGGAGACTACTCCCAGTAAAAGTAGGTCTTAGACAGGGATGTGTAATGTCACCATGGTTGTTTAATATATTTATAGATGGGGTTGTAAAGGAAGTAAATGCTAGGGTGTTCGGGAGAGGGGTGGGATTAAATTTTGGGGAATCAAATTCAAAATGGGAATTGACACAGTTACTTTTTGCTGATGATACTGTGCTTATGGGAGATTCTAAAGAAAAACTGCAAAGGTTAGTGGATGAGTTTGGGAATGTGTGTAAAGGTAGAAAGTTGAAAGTGAACATAGAAAAGAGTAAGGTGATCAGGGTATCAAATGATTTAGATAAAGAAAAATTGGATATCAAATTGGGGAGGAGGAGTATGGAAGAAGTGAATGTTTTCAGATACTTGGGAGTTGACGTGTCGGCGGATGGATTATGAAGGATGAGGTTAATCATAGAATTGATGAGGGAAAAAAGGTGAGTGGTGCGTTGAGGTATATGTGGAGTCAAAAAACGTTATCTATGGAGGCAAAGAAGGGAATGTATGAAGTATAGTAGTACCAACACTCTTATATGGGTGTGAAGCTTGGTGGTAAATGCAGCAGCGAGGAGACGGTTGGAGGCAGTGGAGATGTCCTGTTTAAGGGCAATGTGTGGTGTAAATATTATGCAGAAAATTCGGAGTGTGGAAATTAGGAAAAGGTGTGGAGTTAATAAAAGTATTAGTCAGAGGGCAGAAGAGGGGTTGTTGAGGTGGTTTGGTCATTTAGAGAGAATGGATCAAAGTAGAATGACATGGAAAGAATATAGGGGAAGGAAGGCGGGGTAGGGGTTGTCCTCGAAAGGGTTGGAGAGAGGGGGTAAAGGAGGCTTTGTGGGCAAGGGGCTTGGACTTCCAGCAAGCGTGCATGAGCGTGTTAGATAGGAGTGAATGGAGACGAATGGTACTTGGGACCTGACGATCTGTTGGAGTGAGAGCAGGGTAATATTTAGTGAAGGGATTCAGGGAAACCGGTTATTTTCATATAGTCGGACTTGAGTCCTGGAAATGGGAAGTACAATGCCTGCACTTTAAAGGAGGGGTTTGGGATATTGGCAGTTTGGAGGGATACATGTATGTTGTGTATCTTTATATGTGTATGCTTCTAAACTGTTGTATTCTGAGCACCTCTGCAAAAACAGTGATAATGTGTGAGTGTGGTGAAAGTGTTGAATGATGATGAAAGTATTTTCTTTTTGGGGATTTTCTTTCTTTTTTGGGTCACCCTGCCTCGGTGGGAGACGGCCGACTTGTTGAAAAAAAAAAAAAAACATGCAAGAGGGTTTAAACCTAACAAACTTGAGAAACTACTTTATATGGAATTTAAATGTACTGAATGATTTCATCACCTACACATCAAGGATACCCTGAACAGTCTGAGACAAGATATACTGTATATGAATATGTGAATAGGACACACTCTCAATTACCTAAAATCTTATCTTAGTGGTAGACACCAGTATGTATACACAAACAGTGTGACTTCCAATACTCAGCCTGTAGTTGTTGGAGTGGCACAGGGAAGTGTCCTAGTTCCTCTACTCTTTCTTATTTACATCAGTGACCTCCCAAATACATCGCGACTCCTTAAACTAGTTCTGTCAGCAGATGACACCACTTACGTCTTCTCCCACCCAAACCCGGCTACACTTAGTAACACGGTAAACAGCGAGCTACATAAAATATCCAGCTACATTACAAGACACACTGAGGGCAAATTTCTAGGTCTCCACCCTGACTGTAATCTTAAATTTCAGACCTATATCCATCATATAACTAAGAAAGTTTCCAAAACAGTAGGTATCCTTTCCAAGATACGATACTATGTACCCCAAAGGGCGCTCCTTACTTTATGTCACTCTCTAATATACCATTACCTCACCTATGGTATTTGTATTTGGGGATCTACCACAGCCAATCACCTTAAACCTTTAATGATCCGACAAAAAGCGGCTGTGCGGATGATCACAAACTCCAGCATCAGACAACACACCCCACCACTTTTCAAAAGCTTGAACTTACTTAATATACAAAATCTTTCTTTCAACAAATCGGCTGTATCCCACCGAGGCGGGGTGGCCCAAAAGGAAAACGAAAGTTTCTCCTTTTACATTTAGTAATATATACAGGAAAAGAGGTTACTAGCCCCTTGCTCCCGGCATTTTAGTCGCCTCTTACAACACGCATGGCTTACGGAGGAAGAATTCTGTTCCACTTCCCCATGGAGATAAGGGAAAATAAACAAGAATAAGAACTAGAAAGAAAATAGAAGAAAACCCAGAGGGGTGTGTATATATATGCTTGTACATGTATGTGTAGTGTGACCTAAGTGTAAGTAGAAGTAGCAAGACGTACCTGAAATTTTGCATGTTCATGAGACAGAAAAAAAGGACACCAGCAATCCTACCATCATGTAAAACAATTACAGGCTTTCGTTTTACACTCACTTGGCAGGACGGTAGTACCTCCCTGGGCGGTTGCTGTCTACCAACCTACTACCTAGGAATATACAAAATATACACACTTATTACTGTGCCTACTATAGATACAGAACATTTAAACTCTAATATCAACCCTCCACTCAAACTTCTCCTAGACAGCTTCAAAAAAACACACAGGCATAACATGAGGCACAAAACACTTTTTGACATCCCTCGTGTCCGTCTCACACTATGCAAAAATGCAATGCATATAAAGGGCCCAAAGATCTTTACCTGAAACAGCAAGAGGTCCCCTGCCCACAAATCAATTTAGGACTATACTCAAAAATCATCTCATCTCTCAATAATAACCATACCCACACTATGCTAAACTCTAACCAAATTTAAAGCAACTCTCCCAAACATTTTATTATCCCTTAACTATTAAGCCATTATTACAAACTTAAAAATGTATGTTTGTATCATTAATTGTACTACCTCATATTAATACAGTAACAGAGTAAAATATTGAATATTTGTATTCTTCCACTCTTCACCTGTCTAAATTTAAGTAGTCTATAAGTATTAGGTTAAGTCTGTCCGAAATGCCTGGGCATGATAGTGGCTTTCTTTGTACCAATCAAATTATGAAATGTAAATGCACAACGTAACCTTAGTAAAGAAATAAAATTTTATTTTATTTTATTTTTATTTATTATACTGTAGCATGATTTGTAACAAAGCATTTATACTTTCATTTATGCTCTATAATGGGTTGAACTGCAAAAGAATGGTAAAGTTTTATACAAAAGTAATACATATAGTACCTGTATAATAAAATCAACATAGTGTCCAGTTTCAAGCATAATGGACCAGTTCCTCTGTTGATCATCAATGAAGTTCCCGTAATTGTTTGGCAGAACCTGTCGAAAAAAATTTCCTGTCATTTTAATTTAAAAAATAAAGGCACTGGCATAGAATTTATATTATGTATTCCTATACAATCATTCATATTGTAACACTTCCACAATAATTAATGTAAATTAGAAAGTTAGGTTAATTCTATTCACCATCATAAATGGACATTAATTTATATGTTCTATGTTAAAAGTGATTTAAAAAATAACAAGATAGAATTTGCACAAAAAAGAAATTTCTGCAGTTAGGAAAATCAGTATCATTAGTACTTTGCCTTACTATTTAGCCTTGTGCACCCTTACAGTAAAAGAGAAGTGCTGGTGTATCCTGGCACGAGTAAGGTGGTTCTGTTTCGAGCGATATAAAAGCAACTGGAAATTTTTCTCTGTGAAATTTCCAAGAATGCAGCTCATGACACGCCCCTGAGACTGTGCTTCTCCATTCACACTGAAAAATATTCATTAAAACTTAGAAAATGTGATACAGAATGCAGTAGAATCCAAAGCCTTAATTAAATTGAGATGAGAAGGGTGATCTTGCCCTTTCCTCTGTCTCACTAATGCTTGACTTTGTCTTCCTTGATTCCTCTTTCCAGTGCTGCCAAGAGCTCAACTAACACACACCTCTATTCATGTCATCAAACCCAAGTCAGCCATTGCTAGAGTATTAGTGTACAGTATTTACTTTTCTGGGGGTTGGAACGGTTAAATCTGAAGAGGTTAGGTTTAAGTTATGCTATGTATTCTTTGTGTACAGGTACATGCAATTGGTGCATATGTGACTATTCAATAATAATGTGGTTTAGATAGGAAAAGTATACTGTATTGGATTAATTTTCCAGGTTTGTAGCTCTGATAATAGAATGGATGTGTATGGGAAAATTTCAGTTGTTTAATGTAAATTCACTGAAATACATGATTTTGTGTAATGCATTTTTGTCATTAACCCTTTGACTGTCGCTGCCATATATATACGTCTTACGAGGTACCGTGTTTGATGTATATATACTCATAAATTCTAGCGGCTTCAAATCAAGCAGGAGAAGCTGGTAGGCCCACATGTGAGAGAATGGGTCTGTGTGGTCAGTGTGCACCATATAAAAAAAATCCTGGAGCATGCAGTGCATAATGAGAAAAAAAAAACTCTGACCATTTTTTTAAATTAAAATGCCGACTTTGTGGTAAATTTTCGTATAGTATTTATGGTTGTATTCTCATTTTCTTGGTCTCATTTGATAGAATGGAAAACATATTATAGAAATAGAGGTGATTTTGATTGATTTTACTATAAAAAGAACATGGAAATGGAGCTCAAAGTAGGGGAAAAGTTTGATTTTTGCCAATGTTCAAAAGTAAACAAATGATGTCATTGTCCAATAAATGTCCAACTAGCCATTCTAATATGCAGTCATGAATGGGTTGATGTTATTTATACAATTATTACAGTATTGCAGTAGTCTGCATAATAGTAAGTCTTCTATTTTTTGTTTGAATAAAAATTCAAAATAGAAAGCAAGAGTAATATCAGAGGGGCCTGGAGACATGACTGATGAACAAAGAAAATGTTATTTTAGAGCCAGGAATGTCTGCATTGTTCATTTTGGACCTTATTTTGAAATTCCCATATTTTTTAATTTTCGTGAAATTGGCCAAATTGCAAATTTCTGACCACATTATTGGGTAGTTGAAATCGGTAAATGGGCAGTTTCTTGTACTCAATCGATAGAAAAAATGGAGTCCTAAAGAAATAGCTATGAGTTTGGTCGACTGGAACAATGGAATTAGCCGAAAATAGGGCTCAAAGTGGGCGAAATCGCCGATTTGTAAATATCGCCGAGGTCGCTAACTTCGCGAGAGCATAATTCCGTCAGTTTTCCATCAAATTTCGTTTTTTTGGTGTCATTACAATCGGGAAAAGATTCTCTATCATTTCATAGGAAAAAAATTTTTTTTTTTTGGGGGGAAATTTTGCGACACCAGGAGACACCTCAGGATTGGGGGTTGTGACAGTCAAAGGGTTAAGCAGAGCATGCTGTATGTTGTGACTACTCCCTACAAGTCTTTGATTTTTCATCACTGTGAGGTTTAGTTGTGTGTGCAAGCCCTTTCATCTCAAATGATAATGGTAATAAAGGTATATGACACTGGCATGTATAGAAAAAGACAAAATGCAAACACTTTAGGATCATCTGACTAGCAACATTTCAGTCCTTGGGACCTTAAGTCACTTATCCTTGCTAATTTGGAGTGACAAAGGTTCTAGGACTAAAACATTTCCAATGGAATATCCTGAAGTGTTTGCATTTACCCTTTTTCCTCAAATGATAATCAAAAATAATTTATTATGCTGCAATACTGTAATGACATAACTGCAACTTATTTTACTCACTATAAATAAGCATGTACTGGAGATGCAAGTATGACAGTTGCAGTTTGTGTAGTGGTCTGTTGTCCTGAAGGAGCTGGACTATTGCTCTTGGCTCCAGCACTACCAGCTGAATCAGCACGGTCAGAGCGTGGCTGCTTTGGGGCAACATACTTAAGGCTGGGAGATTTCTCTGGCGTGCCACCAAATAATGAGGGTAACTTCGAGCTAAGAAAAAATACTTGAGTTAGTTTTAAAGTTAAAGAAAAAACATTAAAACTCACTCAATGATGGAACATATAACATTTGCATATTATATTATGAAATACTACTTGAGTAATACAGGAAAATGAAGAAACAATAGCAAAAACACCCTTTCCATAAAAATACAATAAACAATAAAGGCTAGA